CAATCTGGCTCGTGATCTTCTCCTTCTTCCAATTCTCCATTCTGATTCCCTCGGCCTGATCCTCCCTAATCAAATCCAGGAGTGGTGAGTCGATGTTCAACCTCAAACAGATTCCTCGATCGGGAGCAATATCCACCTTGTGGCTCAAAGCATCGACGACTACATTGGTTCCCTGGATGATAAAGAATCTTGCAGTCATAAACTTTGACCACGTTAAGCCACCTGCACTGCCTCATGTTCAAATTTTGCTGATCCATAAGATATCTCAAGCTCTTGTGATTCGTGTAGATGGTACAATGGACCCCATAGAGATAGTGTCGCCAAATCTTGAGCGCAAACACTATAGCTCCCAACTCCAAGTCGTGTTTCGGATATCTAACCTCATGAGGCTTCATCTATCTGGATGCATATGCAATGACCCTACCTCGTTGCATGAGTATCGCTCCCAAACCCATGATCAAAGTATCACAAAATACTCAACATCCTATGGAAGGGTCAATACCGAGGTCTCACATAACTTCTGCCTCCAAGTCTTAAATGTGGCCTACTGCTGAGGCCCCTAGCACAAATCCACACTCTTCTTCTTCAAGCGAGTCAAAGGAACGAAAATCTATGAAAAATCCGAAATGAACCTTCGATAATAACCAGCTAACCCCAAAAAACTCCTACTATGAAATGGGGACTTCAGGACCACCCAATGCATAATTGCTTCAATCTTGCCGGATCGACCAGAATCTCGTTTTGATCTACGAGGTTTTCTAAGAACAGCACCTATCATAACCAGAACTCACACTTAGAGAGCTTGGCATAAAGCCTCTCCATCCTCAGTGCAACAAGTAACTCTCGAAGGTGCTCCTCATGCTGATCCCTGGTCTTGGAGAAAACCAGAATACCATCAATGAAAACAATGACCGTTCGATCGAGCATCGGTCTGCATACCCGATTCATCAAATCCATAAATGTTGCAGGTGCATTTGTTGAGCCCAAACGCCGTCATTACGAACTCATAATGACTATAACAAGTTTGGAACATTGTCTTCTCCACATCATCCTCTATGAACCTCATCTAATGGTATCCTGACCTCAGGTCAATCTTGGAGAACCAAGACGCGCCCTGCAACTGATCGAAAATATCACAAATCCTAGGAAGTGGGTAACGATTCTTCACCGTCAACTTGTTCAATTCCCAATAATCTATATACATACAGTGAGACCCATCCTTCTTCTACATAAACATAATCGGTGCTCCCATCCTGAACTGATCAGTCTAATAAACTGCTTGCCCAACAGCTCCTGGAGCTGAGAGGATAACTCTAACATATTTGATGGTGCTAGACAATACGCGCCTTAGCAGTTGCGGCCACACTGAAGACCAGGTCGATCCTAAACTGCACCTGCCTCGCGGGAGGTACGTCGGGAAACTCCTCCAGGAAAAACATCTAGAAACTCTATAACTACTGGCACATCCACAACCAACTTCTTCCCCTCATCCCGAGTGGCAATCACATATGCGAGATAACCTAAACATCTGTGCTAGAGATACTACCTATCCCTAACATTCAAACAAAAAGTCGAACTAATCCTGGTACCTTCACCATAATTGATTAGCTCTCCCCCGCTTAGGGTTCGAACCACCACCAGCTGCCTCTCACAATCGATCACAGCTCTAAACCCGTTCAACCAGTCTATCCCCACGATCACACATACATTCCCCATAGGGATGTGTAAGGTCACACCTTATAATCTGATGAGTCAAACACAATTACATGCTGACCACCAGCACCAGTGCCAACGCCAGCGTCAGCACCAACACCAACTACACCAACTACAAAATGATCAACTTCAGCGTGAAGTCCATCATCTTGGTGATCATTATATATTAGGAAGATATCTATGTATATTAAGTAGTTATACTCTGTAACAAGGTTGTAAAAATCGTTTGGCGGTAGCTCGGCGGTCGACTGGGGTCAAGCGATTAATCGATTTGGCAGGGATTAATCGGAGGATTAATCGGGGACCATAAATTACTAATAAAACTATTTTAAAACTTAATATTTCCTAAGAAAAAATAGTATTTGAAAATTTCAAATTTTTAAAATTTGAAATTTTGAAATATTTGGTATAATATTTGAAAATTTGAATATTTAATAATTTAAAATTTTGAAGTTTTGTAAATTTTGGTGTAAAATTTGAAAATTTGAAATTTTGAATTTTTAAAATCTTCCCGCCGAGGGCTGCCAAGGACCGCCTAGCCCGAGTTTGACCGATATTGACCAATTTCCGCCAAACACCCCTAATCGTAATCAGTTGCAGACCGCCTAGCGCCTAGGCAGCCGCCTAGGCCGATATTTACAACACTGCTCTGTAAATATAGAATAGATAACAGATCCGATATCTTGGTGATAAGGATATGTTTATACGTAGATTAGATACAATCCCTTGATTGAAAGGATTCACTAGATTATATTAGTATATCTACAACACTAGGGTGAAACCCTAATGTATAGATTGGTGCCACCAATGTCTTGGTGACCATCTTTGTGACAACCAATTTTCTTAGAGAAAACAACTTCTTTCTATGTGAAAGTATCTTTGTGATTATCTTGCTCTTCTGTTCTTCGTTTATTCTTTATTGTATATACTTGAGTGTATCTTATCAATACAAACCTTCAGTTGGTATCAGGGGGTTTTCTGATACATTCAAGTAATCAGAGCAATTTCGAACTTTTGTTCCAAGATCTATTCATAGAAGGTCTGAAATAATTTTTCAGAAACCACGAAAATCAAAGAAGAAACTTTCATTATATTATCATCCACAAGATCTGATGATTATGACAAAGATGAAGAAGAGAGAGAAGAAAAGAGTTCAGACATTTGAAGCTAAATCTGACCAGAAAATTTAGAAAGTAAGAAGAAGAAGAGAAGGGTTCAAAAATATTGAAGCAAACGTTCTTCTTTCAGATCAGAAATCTTCAGAAGAAGTGGGATTAAAATGGATCTCTCCAAGATTTGTTCAGACACTTAAACATTGTGTTTGTTATTCCTCTGTTCAAAGATACCACCATGTAATTTTTTCTATATCAAATCTTTTTTTGATCTCAAAAATCATTTGCAAAAATTGAAGATGTGAGAAAGAACCGGAATCTTTCAAAGTTCTGGTTGGCAGTCTCTCTCTCACTCTCACTAAGTAAATTTAAGATTCTCTGCATATTTTTTATGTAAAATTTTTTAAGTCTTTTATTAGATTTTCTTTTTAAAGTTATGTGTACAGTTTTTTTTTTGTTAAAATCATTGTATGATGGTTTGAAGTCAAAAGGAAAAGGTAGAAAAGATGTATGGAGCCAGTTTGTCTATGTGATGAAAAACAAAAGGAGTAGGTCCAAAGGGTATTTTCGGCACTAAACAAATTTTGATGACAAGTGTTTCTTGTGAACATGTGTTATTTATTGCACTGAGAGACTCGTTGAGTCTTTGTTTCACTAGAAGAGGCATCCTTGGCTCTCACGTTGATGCAAGAATGGTACAAGTGACAATGGCATTTTGGTTGAAGCTGATAGGATTTTCATGTTGAATCTCTCATGATGATGCCATTTACACGCTAATGTCACTCAAGCTGATGGAATCTCTCTAATAGACCTTCACACTGGTACTCCAATAGAAATCCCCAGCCTTAGCAACAAGGAATGGGCTTTAGGCATGGCAATATAGAGATTTGATAGACAAAAGTTGATTGAGATATGTCACATATTTCTATCATATCAACAAGGCCATGTTAACAAATCTCACATCCTGGTGAAAATTCAAGAAAAGAAACCAGTGGGATTTTGGTCCAAATCATGATCTATCATCTAAGTTCAAGAAAGGAATAAGGATTGGGAATTCACAAAAGATAAAGTCCTTTGTCACTTTGTAGTGTTTGTTCACTTAAAGGAGAAAGCATGTAACTTTCATTCAAAAAACCGCAAGCCTTCAAGGGTATTTAGTGTCATATAGATGGAATACATGTACAAGATGTGTTGGTGTTGAGATGATGGAACTTAGTTGTGGTTCTAGACACATGGACCAATGAAAAAGCATCATCATTTTATACAGGTAAATAAAAGAAACAAAAGTGATTACTTTCTCTCACACTTTTAATTGTGTTGCAGGTACAGTCAAGAGAAATAACCATTTCTATGTATGCAAACATGAGAAGTAAAATGCCAAAGTACAATGTAAATGGAAAGTTTCATGTGGCTACAAAAGAGAGTTCAAAAGTGACAAGTCAAAAGAATGCTACATGTCCTGACAGCAGCAAGAATGTTATTGCAAGGGCATTTTTTCAAACGTGTGGCAGATGTTTTTGAGGCTTATTGTTCGTATGTAGTCTTATGAGTTAGAATTAAATATACACCTGAAGGTATTCTTGTCATTTCATCATATTTCCTAACAACATGATCCATTGTCTACATCAGCTTATTGTTGCATATTCTCGATGCATACATTTTTCTTTGGAATTGTACTATGACATTGAAAGGATAAAAGAAACATTTTTGGAGATGGTTGCCTTTTCTTATCTATCTTATCATGTTGTCATTTTCATGGGGTGGTTTAAGTACAACATGTCCTTATGGACTAAAATAATCAAAACCAAAAAGATGGTATGTTGGGGGTTATTGTTTACAGGGAAAATGACTTAAAAGACCAATTAAGTTTCAAAAGCGTTCATATTACCCCAATTATGTTTTTGTTGTTCAAGAAACACCAACAAATTAATGTTTTTTTATTAAAAAGCCAAATAAGTTACCATTAAAATTAACATTTTTAAAAAGTGACCGGCATCTGTGGGTTAATGTTCTTTGTTTACCGGTGATCAAAGGGTAAATATGACATGGCTTATTAAAACAAATTACATGGAAATATAAATACACAAGGGAAATCCTTTCATCATCAAGGGTTCTTGGTGAAGGGTGAAATCGATATCTAGGGTTCTTACACAACGGTGAAATCTACAGAAGGTGATGGTGAAATTGATTTTTACAAAAGGTGAAGAAGAGTTCGTCGATTGTGCAGCAAGCATGTGTGGTGACTCCCTCAACAATGATGTCTACCACAAAGGTATTTTTTCTCCTAATCCCTTTGTTTATTTCCATCCTCATAAACTACCTGTTACGGGGCTAGATGTACGTAACATGGATTTCAAGGAGTTCAAGACTTACCTTTAAAATTTGATCAACAATAGATGTCAAGATATGTATTATTGTCTTAAAAATCGGCCCCTCGTAGATGGGTTAAGGGAGCTCAGGGATAAAGATGATTATGTTAGGTTCCTTGATGTTGGGTTTGATGATGATGATAATCAAATCAGTATCTACATTGATGATTATCATGAACCCTTACTAGATTGGATTGAAGAAGAGAAAGCTAAAGAAGGGGACAGTGGTACTGATACATATGAAGATGATGTGGACTCAATATTGTCCGATGATCTATCGGTGGACCATGAAGTTGATGATGAGGACATTCAGTGGCCTGAACTTGTTGATCCTTTTTTGTCTCATAAGAATCTTATTCCAGAAAGAGGCATAGCCGAAGAAGTTGTTGATAAGGTAAAAAAAACATCCTATTCACGATCCTAACCAAAAATGGGACACTATGATGCCTGAGTTAGGTATGAGATTCTCTAATCAGGATGAACTGAAACACATGTTAACAAATGATGTTGTGGCTAAGGGTTATGCATAGTTGTATAAAAAAATTAGGCAACTAAATTGTTAGTAAGGTGCAGTAAAAAAGAAAACGGGAAGCCATCTTGCCCTTTTAGACTATGGGCTAGTCCTATGAACAAGGAAAATTCATTCCAGATCAAGTCACTAATTGATAAACATAATTGTGCTAGACAACAAAAATTGGGGTGTCCTGTTACGTATAAGTGGATTGGAAAAATGTTAATACCTGACATTTTGGAAAGGCCTCAATTTAGCTATAGGAAAATGGCAGAAGTGGTTAGGAAAGACTATAGTCTCAAGGTAAGTCTTGGGCAGTGTAGAAATGTCAATTACTTTGCACTAGATGAGATTTCAGGCAGTTTGGTAAGCCATTATAAGAAACTGTGGAATTATGGTGCTGAGTTATTGAGGGTTAATCCTGGTTCAACAGTCTTAACTGAGACAAATCATACGCCTGATGCTACACACTACTTCAAAAGGATGTATATTTGCCTGAAGTCTGTCAAGGATGGCTAGATTGAAGGATGTAGAAGGGTTATCGGTGTTGATGGCTGTTTTTTGAAGGGTATTTGTAAAGGTGAGTTGTTAAGAGCCGTTGGTAGGGACACAAACAACCAAATGTACCATCTAGCATGGGCTGTTGTGTTAGTTGAAAACAAGGAAACTTGGATGTGGTTCATTGATCTTCTACTTGAGGACATTGAGATGGGAGATGGTAGGGTTCTGACAATTATTTCGGACCAACACAAGGTGTGTTTTAGTTTACTTTTACTTACTACATTATGTGTTATTATGTGCTTTACAACTTAAATTTTTTATCACCTTGTAGGGTTTGATGGACGCTGTTAAGGAAAGGGCACCATCATGTGACCATAGGAATTTGCCTGACACATCTTTGCCAACTTTAAGAAGAAAGGGTTTACGGGTGTCAAGTGTAACATCCCAACTGTCAGGTATCCTTATTATTCCATTTAGATTTCATGTTTTAAGGTCTACTCGACGAGTTGACGCTATGACTCGTCGAGTAGCAGCGGGCCAGGACACGTCAATTAATGAGTGACTCGTCGAGTCGGCATGGGGGACTCGACGAGTAGGAGCTGGCAGTGGAAACCCTAATTTTCAGGGTTTTTGCACCCTATATATTGGACCATTAGCGCCTCCCACTGTCCTCTATCACCTCTTGAGACCCAGAAACCCTAATTTCCGTGAGTGAGAGCTTGGAGAGTGTTTTGGAGCTTTGGGAAGTGACTTTTGTGAAGGAAATTTGTAGATCAAGAGGCTAGCATCAAGATTTCTGTGTGGATCCAGAGTCTACTTCAGTTTGGGCACGTTTTGGAGGTAACCAGCTATTACCTTAACCTCTTTTTCTTCTAGAATCACTCTTATGTGGAAACTAGGGCTTTCTTTAGTTATTCATGAAGGGATTTTGGTATGGGAGCTAGATCTGAAGTTGAAACTTCAGATCTGAACCTCTTTTGAGTCCTAAGTCCATAAAGTTTCCATCTCTTGCAAGGATGAAACTCTCCCATGGTGTAAAGCTCCATTGGAAGCTTAGATTGGTCATTTAGAGCCTTTAGGGCCTTGCATACGTGTAAAGTTTGCAACTTTACGTGTTAAACATGCCTTAGAAGCTTGGATCTGTAATCTGGAACCCTGGCATGGCTTAAAAAGTGTCTGCATGGATGAAGGTCTGCAAGGACCCGGCGAGTTGCATAGTCAACTCGGCGAGTCATATGAAGATGGTCATGAACTCGTTGAGTTGATAAACAAACTCGGCGAGTCCGTTGAAGATTGTCTTGAACTCGGCGAGTCGTTCGAAGACTCGGCGAGTCGGCTAGGGTTTCTCCCAATTCTTGGACACGTATGAACTTGGCGAGTTAAAGGGGAACTCGACGAGCCAATCAAGGATTTCACGACTTCTCGAGTTCAGGAAGGACTCGACGAGTCGGTGAACTGCACTCGACGAGTCGAGTCAACATGGACTGTTGACTTTGACTGTGGACTTTGACTTTGACCAAGAGTTGACCAGTTGACTTCTGAGGGTATTATGGTAATTTGGAGATTTATGAAAAAGGATTTTATGGTAACTATAGGTGGTGGAGTTCGTGTTGGTGATCCGGGAGTTGAGCTTTCTAGTTTCAAACGACAGTTGCAAGGTGAGTTATCCTCACTATACTAAAGGGTCTAAGGCACCAAGGCCGGCCCATTGGATATATTATCCTAGTAGTGTTAGATGTTGAGTATGAGTTAGTGTTGCATGCTAGTGGTTATGACAATTAGGTAGACTTGTAGGACTACCTGTGATGTTATATGATTATTGCATGCTCAGTGGTTATGTGGTATGTTATATATTATGTGGGAAGGGTTGAGGTTGTACTGCTTCGTGCGGTAGCCAACAGACCTTAGGAGCATTCCAGTTACGGGCTAAAGGGAGACTCATACTGTGGGCTCGGGAGCATTCTAGTTACGGGCTAAAGGGAGACTCGTACTGTGGGCTCGGGAGCATTCCAGTTACGGGCTAAAGGGAGACTCGTACTGTGGGCTCAGGGGTAATCCAGTCTGTAAAGCTGGGGACCCATTACATGTTGTTCAGTTTGTTATAATATGTTTATATGGACTGTATGTGTATCGGTATTTTGGGGGAACTCACTAAGCTCTCGGGCTTACAGTTTCAGTTTATTGTTTCAAGTACATCAGGGGATCGCGGCAAGGCGAAGGCGTGATCGTACAACTCCTCATGTTTTGTCTATGTTTCTGGGAAAACTCTGATATTATACATTTTGAAAACAAAGTTGTAATGATTTTTAATGGTTTGAAATGTTTTTAAAAGTTTAAATTGGTTTGAATTTTTGGGTGTTACATCAAGTTTAGAAGGTTATTTTGGAGGGCTGCAAAGGCTACAACTGACTCCACTTTCCGCTCATACATGAGGGAAATTCGTACAATGTCCACAGAAGCTTATGACCACCAGATAGAAAGAGACCTGAATACATGGTGTAGGGCATTTTTTGAACCTGAGAGTTGTGATGTTATAGAAATTGGTATATCTGAATCTTTCAATGCAGCAATCGTAGATGCCTGGAAGAACCCTATAATAACAATGTTGGAAGAAATCAGGTTGTACGTGATGGAGAGGATGTACGATCAAAAGCTTAAGGGGAAAAAGTGGGACTTAGAAATCTGCCCTTCTATTAGAAAGAGGATTGAGAAGATGAAAGAACAACAAAGGTATATTCTTTAATTGAACATGAATTAATATGAAATAACTTACCTTCTTAATATGATTTCATAACAGGTATTGCGATGTTGTTCCAAGTGGTGAGTAAGAATATGAAGTGAAATTAGCCCATGAAGTTTATGCAGTTCATCTTGAAGACAAAACATGTGGCTGCAGAGCCTGGCAACTCAGTGGTATCCCTTGTGTGCATGTCATCACTGCAATATTATACCTGAATGGAAATGTAGAGGTCTATGTAGTTGTGTGGTTTAAAACAAGCATGTTTGGAAGTTGCTATAGGTATCCAGTCAAACCAATTAATGGAGCTAACATGTGGCCTGGTGTTCTATGTGATCCCATATTACCACCTAGGCATAGGAGAATGCCAGGAAGGCCCAAAGTAAACAGAAGGAAATGTCCTACAAAGAATGAAGGAAGGCATACAATTAACAAGACAGGGATGTCCATCTCAAGATGTGGTAATTATCATCAAGAAGGACACAACAAGAGGCGATGTCCATTGATCATAGAAGGTTGATTTTTATTTTGATTATTCATTCATCTACATTTGTATAATAATAAATTTATTTGTTTTAACAATGTAGCAAATAAACCAATTGTTGGTGAAGAAGAGGTTATTGAAGAAGGTGATGTTGAAGACCAGATACGAGAAGGAAACCCACAATCACAAGGATTTGCCTTATCAATTGTGCTCTTTGACTTGGAAATTTTTGACCTTGAGCATGAGTTGGAGGATCGAGATGAAGAAGCCATGTTGAAGAAGTCGATTGAAGAAGTCGATTGATTAAGGAGTTGTACCCCCCATTATGCCTTAAATCTAGTTATAATATGTAACTTTTAGACTAATGCCACGTAGATATGCCAACACACCACATATATATGCCAACTCAACAAAAATATGCCAACTCATTTACCCCCCAATCGTTTACCTGCAAGATGCCGGTCACTATTATAAAACGTTAATTTAATGGTAACTTTATTTGGCTTTTTAATAAAAAAAACATTAATTTGTTGGTGGTTCTTGAACAACAAAAACATAATTGGGGTAATATGAACGCTTTTGAAACTTAATTGGTCTTTTAAGTCATTTTCCTTTGTTTACATGTAGTTGTAGCATTTAGGTTCAAAGAAAGAAATGTGATTATATCTTGTGAAGAGTAAAAGTTGTTTATGTGTATGGTGGGTCATGACCGAAGAAACATTGACATAAGTCAACAGTGTCAAGGCTTTAGTGTTATAGATTTGTACATTGCTTGGTACGCAAACTAATGAAGTTTTTTGCTATGTGTTAATTTTTGCTCCATGTTTGCTGCATGGGTGCATCTGTGTGATGCCTATGTTATAGTAAAGTGTGTTCAAAATTGCATTACCATAATTCACGAGAGTAAGTAATGAAAGAATCCATGGGTAAAAGACAATGTATGGCAGGTTCTCTTTTTTCAGTCACACACAGGAAAGCAAGTATTGTACGCTTTAGTCTTCTCAATTCTGCTGCACAAGAAAAGGAAATAATAAAAGACAAAGGTTGGTCACGTAAAGTTCATGTTCATACACTCTACAACGGATCAATGGGTCTTAATTATGTGATGATGTTCAAGGTATCTCAATCATGGGTAATTCGGTCATTTTTTTGAAAAATGCTAAAGCATCACCTCTATCAGCCTCTTGCAAC